AAAAAAAAAACGGAGGTAAAAAAAAAAAAACGGTAACCTGGTTGCCGAGTTCACGAAGTGAATTGGCTTGTTTTACAACGTCGTTGCCAAGCGACGAAACCCAATCCCGACGGCAAACACCGGGGGGGGCGGCTTGTTTTACAACGTCTTTGCCAAGCGACGAAAACCCAATCCCGATGGCAATCACCGGGAGGGGCGGCTTGTTTTACAACGTCGTTGCCAAGCGACGAAAACCCAACCCGGATGGCAAACACGGGGGGGGGGGGAGGGAGAAAAGGAGGCGTGTTGAGGGTGGTCGTTTCGCGAGTGCCCCTCGCGAGATGTACATATTCACAGACACAAACAAAAAATCGTGCGAAATAAACATCTTCCGACAACACCAGCCACCGCCACGGCTAGCAACAGGCTCGCACTATTTATCGCCGCTCGCCTCGCGAGCTGTGAATATTCACAAACTGGCACACCGTCCGCGACAAGCTCACACTGTCTATCAACGCGCACAGCAGCTCCTGCACAGCACTGCTGTCAAGCGCACCATCGCCAGCAAAAAAAAAAACAAAAGTCCTCTGCGGTCGATCGTCCCGCTCCTCTCACCCGCGAGCTCGAGGATGCTGCAGCCCTTGATGAGGTTCGTCAGCACGTTCTCCTCCACGTCCCCCTCGTGGTGCCCGAACATCACCGCCGGACGCACCCCTCCCCCTTCTCCCTTCTCCTCCTTGCCGCCTCCCTCGTTGTCGTCGCCGTTGCCGTCGTTCGATCGCCCTCCCAGCGCCGCCTTGTATGCGTCGAAGCGGATTTCGCGAGCCACCTTCTCGTACTCATCGCGGGCGGTGACCCCCCTCCGAACCTGCAGGACGTGCGCGGACGGTGGAGGCGCAAGGGGATAGGAGCATATGATCGACGCTTTTAAAGCACTTTCTTGGGGATGGGTGTGGGGGCGCGCGTTTGTTGGTCTCAGGGAGGGGGGGGTTGGGTACGGGACGGGAAGCACGAAAAACGCGCAAGGCAAACAGTACCGTCGAATGCGCTGGACATGTCGTGAGGAGACAAAACAAAAAGACTTCACAAAAGTGTACCGTTTGGCAGCATCCTACACATGCTACGTACGACATCTGGCATCGTGAACAAAAAGGCAACAAGAAGCTCGGAAGCATGCCGACGTGACGGCTGGGATAAGGACGGAGGATGCGGTGATGCAGGTGCTCCCCCCCTCTACCTCGCCCCTCAGGTTTCGTCTCTCGAGCACATTTCCACCTAGCGGGTGGATAGCAAACCAAGCACAGCATCCCCCTCCCTACCTCCTCGTTACCCCAAACTAGGCGCAACCAAGGCAAGCGCTTCGAAACACCTGCACCCCTCCCCCCCTCACCTCCCCGATGGCCCTCTTGTAGAAAACCACGCCGTGTCTCTCGCACCACCCCTCCACAAAGTCTGCCTCTCGGCCGCTCTCGTGCCTGTTGCCGTAGTCGATGTGGATGCCCATCACCTCGAAGCCGTACACCGGTTGGAGGTGCACGAGGGCCCTGCAGAGGGCCATGGAGTCCACCCCGCCGGAGAGGGACACGGCCACTGTACGCAACGCGCTGCCGCCGCTGCTGCTGCTGCTGCTGCTGTTGCGGCCGGTGTCGTTGTCGTTGATTTTGGTGGTGGTCGTGGTGTCAGTGCCGGCGGTGACGACGGATTTGTTGTTGTTGCTGCTGCTGCTGCTGCTGCTGCTGCTGTTGTTGTTGTTGGTGGTGGTGGTGTTGGTGCTGTTGTGATTGTCGTTGTCGTCCTCGTCGTCGTTGTTGTCGTTGTTGGTGTCGCTGGGAGTGACACTGTGGTTGTCCGCGCTGTCTGTGCAGTCACCGGTGATGGCATCACCGCTGTTGCCGCCGCCGCTAGCGCTGGCGTCGGTGCCGCCACCTTTTCTCCGTACACCGGCGGGAGTTCCCAAGGCCGGAGGCCCCGCCATAGTCGCCACGGCGCCTTTCGTGTCTAGAAAGCCACGTAAAACCCTGGGGACATCGATCAGCAAAGGAAAAACAAGACCGGGGACAAACATGCGCGGTTGTCACGATTGATCCGGGGTGGGAAAGTGTGTGTTTGCTAGCGTTCTGTGTCATTGTTGTGGACTTACAGCAGCATGCAAACCGGCCCGACTTGTACCTAGCCACGAACGTAGGCGAGATCGTGTGACTGACAGCAAAAACGGAGCAGGTTGTTGGAAAGGCATACAAACGTTGTCAATTCCGAGGTCTCCGAGACTTGTGCCGCGTGCCGATTTCCGTCCTCACGACGCAATGACACGGGACGTAGACGTACTGTTCTTTCCGATGCTGACGGGCTCGAAACATGCCTCCGGTCAGCACGGTAGGTTGGGAAACACAAGAACGGTCAAGGTAGATGTGTATGTTTTACTGCCCTGGGGGTGAAGGCGAGGTGAAACGCAAGGGAACACGGACGACCGTACTTTTCGTATCCGTATCATACAGTACGTATCGTATCCAACGAGAGCGTGGTCGATGACATTATATCACCGGAAACCCGATAGAGAAGGCGATAACCGAGAGACACTCATGCAACCGACCACACGGAATAGGACAAGTCTTGCACTACCATCATCACCTTCCTTGTCCTACTAGTGGTGCCCCCGGGGTCCAAAACAACACAAGACATACCAAACGGCCAACGGCACGATACAACAAAGCCAGGCCACGTAAGCGCAGCTCACTTGACGAGCTCGTGCTTGTCCATCTGGGAAGGGTCCGGAGGGTCGAACTCGAAGTGCTCCAAGATCTCTGCCCCTTCTTCGGCCCTGTCCTGGATGCCTTGGAGCCGCCTAGCGTAAGGCCGCCCGTCCGTGTGGGTTTCGCATACACGCGGCGCAGACAGGCAGGCAATGACAACACAGACAGACGTAAGACAAAATACCTCAGACTAAACGACCTGGGATGTGTGACATCAGACAAACCAACCGAAAAATAAAAAGGAGCATCATGGTACAGGACATACGACTAGACATGTACATATGCATGACGTAGTCATACATAAGATAGTCATACATAAGGTAGAGAGATACAGAGAGAGACACACACGAGCGGGTGAGGTACAACATCGACCAAAGTCAAGTTTTATGCCAAGCCTAACATCCCCCCCGAAAAAATTGAACGACGCCCTTTCCCAGTCTCCCTGGCCCTGTCGCTGCGAGAGACGCCGACGCTGGCGGCTGCCTGACAAAAAAATACCGTTCGAGTTGTTCACAGAATGGCAGCCTTAAAAGCTCCTATTCAAATCAACCAGTCGCCGACAAGCTTACAGCCAGCAATCGTGCGGGCAGAAGCAGTTCCAAGCCCCCCCCCCACACACACAGCCATCCACCCTATGTGATGATACCAATATTCGGGCTATCCTTCACCTGCGGGTCATCGTTGACTGCGGCGACATGGGCTCCAGCAACAGTTGCACTGGCCGGACACGATAGGGCAGCTACTCACATGCTCACGAAACAACTCACAGTAAAGAGATGATGACTCGAAACATAATCTTTCGGTCTCTGGCAAGAGGTGGATGTTGTTCTCTATGCACGTTCTCAAGTCATTCGTATTTTCATTTGTTTAGTGAAGATTCGACGAAAACCTATCGTAAAGCGAACTCCCAGCTGGTGTAGACGTCCCCCCGGGGCGGTCCAGTGAAAACGCACGCAGAACCCACAACATAGACAAAGATAAGCTCGACATTTCATCAAGTTTCCTAGAAAAACGCCTCTGTTGATAATATACTACCCCCGACCGACCTTTTGGTCGCCTTCTTGAACCGCTGGAGGAGCTCCTGTGACTGCCGCAGGCGTGTTTCCCTCTCTTCAGCCTCCTGCATCACTCGCAGCAGTCGCTCCTCGCTGCGCACGCGCAGAACCAATCGACAATGGCGGTGGCGACCACCAGCAAGAGGGAGTTGGACAAGAGACACAGGGGTAGACGCACGCGCTGCTGTTCTTAATTTTGGTTTACGGTGTTCCTCGGCGGACGCACGAAACCAGCTGTGGTGGACAACTTGACCCGATCCTCCCCGCGACATAATTCAGGTCGAGCGCGGTCGAAGCAGGGCGAGGAATATTAGCAAGAAGAGTGCCATCTAGCTATCCCCGCCCTTCGACCCCACGGAAATCAAATCAAATTCAAGAAAAGACTGAAGTACCCGGAAGGTGTTGAGTAGGAGCCGAGCCAGGGAGACCAAGGGGTCCCCGCAGACTACCTCTGAAATGAAAGGGTATGCGGGCGGTCGCACGAGTCTCGAAGAGACAATTAGCTGAGCAACGTACAAATATATACCTTGGGGTGTGCCTTAGCGGCATGAGAGCGAACACGTGCTGCTCCGCCGTGAGGCCGTGCTGCCACCCCCTGTCCAGCAACGCCTCGGTTAGGGGCAAGGCCTGCCGGTCGCACCGCCCCACTCGCTCGTCCCTGTCGGGGGCTCCCCGGAACAGGTGCCTGTTCGTAGAACAACAGCCGCAACCGCCGAAAACGCCGGTAACACACACAAGGGACAAATAAAATGAAACATAAGATGGGACGGCAAGACAAATGGACGAAACAGATCGAACCCCAAGCCAACCACGCAACGGCAGTGTTGGGTACCGACCCGCATGTGCAGGAAGGGGATTCTTCGGGTTTATCTCTTGACGACCCGAGGCTTACCCTTGAGATTCACGGCTCGTAGCTCAAAGAACGAGGGGCCGCTTAATGGGACAACGTAAAACACACGCAACACATGATAACCGACCGAAAGGAAGGAACTTGTTGGTGGAAAGCCTGTCCGAGGAGAACTAAATTCTGCCTCCAGCGTGGCTTAAAAAAAAACGTGCTAGAAACATCCACACGGCCCATGCATACCTAGAGAACTGATCAAGGAGAAGAATGAGCGCCACCATCGAGCGTGGTCGCTCGCTCCAAGAGTCCGTCAGCTGCCCCGCCTCCGCCCGGAGCACCAGGTTCCCGAAGCCCTTCCTGATGGTTTCGTCCATTCGTGGAAGCGCGTCGCCCTTGGGGTGCGGGATCGGGAGAGGGGGAGGGCGAACTCATGTCTTGCATGCCCTAGTGGTTAGATCATTGGCCCCCCGTCCTCGAGAGGAGGGGTAGAGGTGGTAAAGAGAGGAGGGGGGGGGGGGGGGGGGGGGG